CTTGGACCATTTTTAGTGGTATAGAATCAGAAACCCAAAATGTTAAAGTTGAAAAATTGAACTCCTTATTCAGAGAGTGTTTGCTATTGCTTAAAATAAGCAATTTCCGCTTTTCAACTTAAAAAAGCTACTCGTTAAAAAAGTGTTTAATTTGTCCTTCTTCTAATTAAAAAATGCACTTTCAGGCAATCATTTGACTTGACGGGAAGGGCCGCTCATGAAACTTCAACACTCAACAAGATCCTCCGCCATCAACATGCAGAAGGCCTTAGAATCAATTTTGGATTCTTACCTTCTACCCTAGCTTAGCGCGCAAACAGAGGAAAGAAAGGTCCAAGGAAGAGAAGCAACAATGGTTATTTAATTATGGAAGGGTAATTTTGTACTTCTACAATTTACTTCCATAAAAATCACTTATTTTACCAAACACTCTAACTTCAACTTTTCCACTAAAAGCGTTTCCATTACTCCGTATAAAACACTATCAACTTTTACTATTAATTATTTTCTCAAAAATCACTTAAAAATCATTTTTTTAAGCAAAAACAAATGCAAACACTCCCTTAGTGTAGTGGTGACTAAATGGAGTTTAAAACGAGAAAGTGGGATGTAAGGTTAAAAATAGAGAGTGAGGTGGAGGTGCTGGGAGTGGCATCTACGATTCCTATCGCGAGGATGATAATCCCAAAGGGCGGCGCCGATTCGGTCAATCGGGAGCCTCCTTGCCCTCATCACCCTATCTCCCGTCTCAGTTGTATGATTAATAAATTAAATCATGAACAAATTAGTGGTTGATAAAGATAAAGTTAGTGGTTGATAACAAATCAGTTCTTATAACAAATTAACGGTGCCTCATTTGTCCCATATATTAAAGATAAAGTTATATTCCCTCCGTCTCTTTTTATTTATTTAGTTTTGACTTTTCAAGTTAGTGGTTGATAAAATCTATTCTAAATATTTGAGTAATATTAATACTTAAACATCGAAGAGAGAATTTGATAGGAGAATAGTGTAAACTTCATGATTTATTATTGAGGCATACACATGTATATATACTATACGTATTACAAAGAGAAGAGGAAAAGTTTGCATGTGATTGTATGGCCCATGCCATGCCAACTAACAACAGTAATAAAATATTATATAAATATTAAATATCTCAATACTCCCCCTCAAGGTGGAGTGTGAAGATTACGAACACCCAACTTGCTTCTGAGAAACTGAAAACGATCGGTGCCAAGTGCTTTGGTAAAAATGTCAGCCACTTGATTGACTGTGGAAATAGAAACCGGCTCAATCTCTTTGCTAGCAACTCTTTCTCTTACAAAATAGCAATCCATTTCAACATGCTTTGTACGTTCATGGAATACTGGATTTAATGCTATGTGACGTGCTGCTTGATTATCACAGTAAAGAGGTGTTGCATTTGTTTGATCAATTGTAAGATCCCGAAGTAACCAACGCAACCACAATATCTCGCTCACTGTCATTGCCATGGCGCGATATTCTGCTTCAGCAGAAGAGCGTGAAACAACAGATTGTTTCTTTGTTCGCCAAGATATAGGCGAATTTCCAAGAGAAATAAAATATCCAGTACTGGAGCGACGAGTGAAAGAGCAGCCAGCCCAGTCCGCATCACAATATCCTTTTAAGTTGAAATCGTCATCAGATGATAAAAATATTCCTTGACCAGGTGTTTGTTTCAGATAGCGTAATACGCGAATGACAGCATCGAGGTGACTTTGTCGTGGATGACTGAGGAATTGGCTAAGCTGACTGACAGGATAAACAATATCTGGACGGGTTACAGTGAGATATAATAGGCGCCCAATCAGTCGACGATAAGAAGATGCGTCTACTAGTTGGCTATCATCGTCTGGACGAAGTTTTAGGTTTTGTTCCATGGGAAACAAACTGGGACGGCCCGCTAAGAGGCCACTTTCTTTTAGGATATGAAGGGTATACTTTCTTTGGCTTAAGACAAAACCCTCTGGAGAGCGAGCAACTTCAATGCCAAGAAAGTATTTCAATTTGCCTAAATCCTTGATGCTAAACTTGTTGTTTAGATAACCCTTAATGGAAGAAATATGGGAGACATCATTTCCAGCTAAGATGACGTCATCAACATAAATGAGAGCAAAGGTTGTGACGAGACCTTGGCGAAAAATGAATAGAGAGTGATCTGCTCGGGATTGGCGAAACCCTATCCCATTGAGAGCTTGAGTAAATTTGTGATACCAATTGCGCGAAGCCTGTCGTAGTCCATATAGAGATTTTTGTAATTTGCAAACACGAGTGTCACCCTTTTTCATGAATCCTTGGGGAATGCGCATATAGACATCCTCAGATAGATCACCATGGAGGAAAGCATTATTTACATCTAATTGGTGTACAACCCAATTACGCTTAGCTGCCACGGCTAGCATGCATCGCACCGTGACAAGTTTGGCAACCGGTGCAAAAGTTTCGTGAAAATCAACTCCTTCAACTTGAGTGAAACCCCTAGCTACCAATCTAGCTTTGTAGCGTTCTACTTCGCCATTTGGTTTATATTTAATTTTGTAAACCCATTTGGAGTCCACAATTCTTTTCCCGGCAGGTAAATTTACCAAAATCCAAGTCTGATTTTCTTCCAAGGCGGTAATCTCCTTTTGCATGGCCTCTCGCCATATGGGGTCCTGTACAGCTTGGGAAAAATATTTAGGCTCATCACGTGAAGTGATGGCCGCTAAAAAAGCTTTATGAGTGAGAGAAAATTTTTCATAATTAATGAAATTGGAAAGAGGATATACCGTTGAGTCCGCTGAATTGGCCGTGGGTAGTGAATGATTAAGTGAGGGGGGCAAATCAATTTCGTAATTTTCCAGATGCTTGGGAAATTTCCGAATTCTAGTCTGCCTTTGTGGTTCAAAATGGGGTGTAATGCCTGGTGTCACCGTTTGTTGATTAGGTGGTCCCATGATATTTGTCCCTTGTACAGAAACATCACCATCAGCACAAATTATTGGGGAAGGCAGCCCATGCATTGCATTATTTTGTGCTTGTCCGTAAGATACATGTGTATCCAAATATTGACTAGATGAATTGAGATCATTGTCCACTTCTGTTGATGGACGTTTGTGTGCAGTAGCCGGCGGGTGGTGAGCAGTCTCGGTCGGTTGTCCATCCGAAGTAGTCGACTCGATCAACTGTTGGCATGATGATGATGGTGGCTCATGATGATGATGTGGGTCAAATTGCATCAATTCCACTCTCTTGCAATTTTGCTGAGCAAACGAAGGCTGTTCATCTTCACTAAATGACCGAACAACAGGTCTCATAATATGTTCTCGGTCTTGTACACTTTGATCCTCATATCCCAAAATGTGATGATAAACCTTGTCAATAATTGCTGAAAAATCAAGGTCATCATCAAGAGTAATTTTAAAAGGGAATTTTTCTTCGTAAAAGGTGACATCTCGGGAACTATAAACACTACGTTTTTCAAATCGTAGACCCGATAAGCCTTTTGACCATATGCGTACCCAATAAATATACACGGACTCCCCCTTTCGCCAAATTTATCTTTTCGCTTATTATCATGTGCATATACGAGACATCCAAATACCCGCAAATGATCATAACTAGGGATCTTTCCAAACAACATTTCATAAGGACTTTTGTTAAAAATAACGGGCGAGGGAAGTCTATTAATAATATAAGCAGCAGTCAAGATGCACTCTCCCCAAAAATCAATCGGTAACCCAGACTGAAAACGTAAGGCCCTTGCAATTTCCAATATGTGTCTATGTTTACGTTCCACAACTCCATTTTGTTGTGGTGTGTCTGTGCAAGACGTCTCGAGTAATATCCCAGTGCGTCCATAATAATCAAATAAAACATTGGTTTGAAACTCTACGCCATTATCAGCTCGTATTCGTTTGACTTTTTGCTCAAATTGGGTAGCAACCATGTTGCAAAATTGGATTAAAAATTGAGAAACTTCAGATTTATTTTTCATTAAATAAACCCACACACCTCTGGTAAAATCATCAACAATAGATAGAAAATACTGTGCACCGGAGATTGAATCGCATCGATAACCTCCCCAAATATCGCAATGTATCAATTCAAAACAACGAGTTGTCTTAATGGAGCTTGTAGAAAAGGGTAGTCTAGTCTGCTTAGCCCGGACGCACGGATCGCAAAAATTATCACTTCGACGAAATCCTTTGAGAGAACTAATGTGATGAATTTTTCCATCAGATGCATGTCCCAAACGTTGATGCCACAAATCGGAAGTAACAGAGACTGACATTGCCGCCCCCTCACTTATCGGAAAATCCATATAATAGAGTCCATTGCAGAATTTACCCACGCCAATTAGCTTCCTCGAGGGTATGTCCTGCAAAATACAGAAGTCTGAAAAAAATGTCAATGTACAATTTAGATCGCTTGTGAGGCGACTAACTGAAAGTAAATTGCACTGGAACTTTGGGATGTATAGGACACGCCGAAGATACAATCCATTTGGTAAGTACAAGCTACCGGCAGCATGAACCGGAACAGATTCCCCATTTGGAATTTTGACTGATCGTTCAGGAGGGGTGCTCAATATATCAATAAGATTTCTATCAGTACAAGTAATATGTTCCGTTGCACCAGAATCAATTATCCAAGAATCGATATGTGACAATACTCCTGTCATATTAACTTGAGGCATATACTCCATCATTATGTTGCTAACTTTATGGCTGGCTTCAATGGTTTCATCACCAATCTCCATAGCCTAGCTAGAGGGAAAAAAATATATGGAAGGATAAAAATCTAGAAATCTTGTTTCCAGGATTTTGGCTCTGATACCATGATAAAATCTATTCTAAATATTTGAGTAATATTAATACTTAAACATCGAAGAGAGAATTTGATAGGAGAATAGTGTAAACTTCATGATTTATTATTGAGGCATACACATGTATATATACTATACGTATTACAAAGAGAAGAAGAAAAGTTTGCATGTGATTGTATGGCCCATGCCATGCCAACTAACAACAGTAATAAAATATTATATAAATATTAAATATCTCAATAGTGGTGTCCAACTTTGACCGATTATGTATTTATACACATAAGTATTGATAATATTAAAAAGATATCAAAATTTTATTTGTCAAAAATTGTATCATAGAAATATAAAATTATTAAATTTATATGAATATATTAGTTAAAATAAGTGGTCAAAGTTTACCATCTCTGACCTGATAAACACTAATATATGTATCAATGAGTGTTTTTCTTCCTAGCTCATAAGCTCTCTAAAAATATACTCCGTATCATGAATTGGATCCTAATATCCATCAATGATCGACATTGATATAAGAAATACTACGTATAAAAGTGATGGCCTACTCAAAATGAGCAAGAGTAGGAGTATTAATGCAACGAATGCAAGAAGTGAAGAAAACACAACTCTTACGAAGCATATATATGTAAGAAAGAAAGACAAGTTTGCCAGACACTACAACAAAATTGATCTTTTGTAACACTTTGTTTGTAACATTTATTTATTTTGTTACATATGTCATTTAGATTTAAAATTATGCAACATTTTTTTATAAGTGTTGCTCAAACCTTTGGAGTATGAAATTATGTAACACTTGTTGCAAAGTGTTGCATGTTACTAAATATTATGCAACACTTATATTTTAAGTGTTGCATTTGATAAATAAACAAATTTACGGGTGATTTTTATGTAACAATTCTTAGGAATGTTGCTTTTGTTTAAGTCTTATGCAACATACGAAGTATATCTCTAAAAATAAAAATTAATTAAGTTTTAGTTGTGAATTATTTATTAATCGCACGCTCTTAAAATATAGTCCCGGCCCGCTATTAAAATTTTCATGTTGGCGCCACCGCCAATAATTAACCTCTTTAGCCCAGGAGACAAATATACCAAGTAAAACTCTTGCCCTTTTTCAATTGCGATCAGAATTCTCAATCCTGCGCAGCTCGCTTGCTGGCCTCCTCCTGGCTTTCTCAACGGCAAAAGCTCGCCTCCTTCTGGCTTTTGCGACCACAAACTTGTCTGCTTCTAGATCGCTGAACCACGTTCGCTCCAGAGAACCCACACCGGCAAACTCAACCATCGCCGGCCAGTTCTTCTGATCCGCGGTTCATATTTATATATCTCAGGCACGCCTTTTACCTCAATCTTGTACTACTTAGTTTTACAATTTATGTTCTTTTTGGATGTTCGTACGAGTATAGATCTAACCGATTGCTGAGTAATTGCTTATTTTAGTTTGAATCTGATTAGGAATTTATTTTTCTGTAGTGGTTTATGTTCTTACTGGTAATTTCGTTTAGTTTTATGAATTAGTCATAAAAACTTTACTTTCACTAGACTGATTAAAACGAAGTGGTACTTTCATTAGTTTATTAAAACGAAGTGGTTTATTAGTCTATATGTTCTTACTAAGTGGTTTATTAGAATATAATAAACTTATGATTAGGCATAAAAACTTTTCTGAATATAATCTAATAAAAAATGGCTTAACTTTTTTTTCTGGTAAAACGAATTTAGGTTTTTTTTTTTGGATTGTGAATATCATAATATTGGACTTTGACTACTTCCGTTATTTTTTATAATTTGAATATGAAAAGGAAAGGTCTAAATTAAACTAACTTGGATAAAGATTTATTTAAATTACAAACAATTACAAGCAATTAGTTCAGATAAGAACAAGAAAGGATTTTGAAACATGATGTACATGAGATGGATGGACGACATGAGGATGAGCCAATTGAGCCTAAGATTGAGGAAGGAATTGAGGCAGAGGGGGATGCCAGTAATTAGGACCTATCTGATGCCATAATACGTGAGGGTGAAGATAAAGTAATGGTTTTTAAGTTTCTGTAGTGCCAGATAAAATTATGAGGCATTATTGATCCTGTTGTAGTATCAATTGTCTTGTGCTTGTGGAACAATAATTAGTTTCAATCTTTCTGCTCTCTTTATCATGGTGATTGCTTGATTATCATAGAGTAGTTAGTTTGTCATATAGATTTACTTAAGCAGTGTTTGCGGTTGATTAAAAAAAGCGCTTTTCAGCTTTTAGCTTAAAAAAAGCTAAAAAGAGTGTTTTCAAATGACAGCTTCTGCTTAAATTAATCACTTAAAAGCTAAAAGTTGGAAGCAGGTGGACGGGTGCTTTAAACTGCTTTTCACTTTTTCTATTACACAAAAAGTACTTATTTTACCAAACATTACCAACTTTTACTTTTTCAGAATCACTTTTTTCTCAAACACTACCAACTTTTACTATTAATCACTTTTCCCAAAATCACTTTAAAAAATCACTTTTTTAAAGTTGAAGCAATTGCAAACACTCCCTTACATCAGTTTGTATATATAAACTACTTACATAGAGTAGTTAAAACTATTTGCTCCTTATAATAGAGTAGTTAACTAATGTCATATAGAAACTCTATATGACATTAGTTGATTCACAAATAAAACTCCTTCTGTAAAACTCTTGTTACATAGAGTTTTAACTACTTACATAGAGTAGTTAACTACTTAGGTTTTAACTACTTAACAAAGAAAAAAACTACTTACATAAGTTATAACTACTTAAGAGTAGTAAAGGCTTTCTTTTTCTTTGTCACAGTCAAAATATGTTTTTTTTTTTGTGATTTGCTCCTTATAACACTTTTTACCAGTGAAGTAGACAAGCAGTGTATGGTGTCATAATGTAAAGTGGTGTGTTCTGATTTTTATTATTATTCATATTAAATGATGAGCAGTTTGATGAGTTTTTGAATATGAGTTTTGTCCTTGTAAAAAGTGCTTGGGTCTTACTTATAAAAAAGTGAACACAAGGCGCGATTAGGCGCAAGGCGCATAGACGAATGGTTTAGCCGCCCTAATGGTTCTTGTAAATTTGACAACTGTTCTTTTGTCTATGCTAAAGATGTGTGTGTGTGTGTGTAGTGAAATCAACAGAAAAACAAAAATCATTTATATAACATCCTTTTCAGAAAAGCCCAACTTTTGTTAGTTATTTCTTTTTAACTTCCTCTGCCAGAGGATCCGCATTTAATTAATTTGTTCTAGCAAAGCTCGAATTTTGTTTGACTTGACCATGTTTTATTTATTTATTTCTTTTCAATGAAGTCTAAGGTAATGGAGAGAGATAGAACTTGGATGTATACTCATAGACTTTCACTCGAATTCAAGAATGGTTTGACTAGTTTCCTTGATAAAGCTTTTGCTAAAGGAATTGATCATGGGGGTCAAATTCTTTGCCCATGCAAAGAATGTAAAAATCGTTATTGGTATCGTAGAGATGAAATTTGGAATCATGTAATAGCAAAGGGATTTGTGGAGAATTATTTTAAGTGGAACTTTCATGGAGAGGGACCTATGTCAGCTGATCACAGGGGTTATGAAAACGATACAGTTGAATATGACAATATTGATGATCTTTTAGGTGATAGATTTCGAGGAATTCATGACGGTGAGAATCAAAGCGGGATTAATGACGATGCAAAGAGATTTTATAGTTTATTGGAGGAGGGAAAGAAAGAATTATATCCTGAATGTAAAAACTTTACCGTTCTTTCTTTCACAATCCGACTCTTACTTTTCAAGACAGTCAATGGAGTGAGCAATACAGCTTTTTCAGAACTGCTGAGTCTTTTCAAAGAAGTAGTTCCTGATGGTAATTTTCCTAATTCCTTCAATGATGCAAAGAACATGGTTAAGGACATTGGGCTTGATTACCAAAAGATACATGCATGTCCTCAAGATTGCATGCTCTACTGGAAAGAAAATGCTAATTTAGAATCATGTAGGTATTGTCATACCTCTAGGTGGAAATTGAATGACGACAAACAGAACAAGCACAAAGGGAATGTTCCAGCTAAGGTTTTATGGTACTTTCCGTTAAAACCAAGGTTAAAAATGTTGTATATGTGCTCTGAAACTGCTGAACAAATGATATGGCATGATACAAAGCGTCCAAGGGATGGTAAGATAAGACATCCGGCCGATGGTGAAGCGTGGAAGAAATTTGATTCACTCCATCCTAGTTTCAGAAAAGAAGGTAGGAATGTGAGATTGGGGCTTGCAAGTGATGGATTTAACCCGTTCCGAACAATGAGTATTGCGCATAGTACATGGCCAGTGGTGTTAGTCAATTATAACATTCACCCTTCATTGTCCATGAAATCAGAATACTTGATGTTGTCCTTATTAATTCCAGGACCACATTCTCCTGGAAATGATATCGATGTGTTCTTGCAGCCATTGATAGAAGATTTAAAAGATTTGTGGACTGAAGGTATTGAGACGTATGATAAATTTAGAGATGAGACATTTAGATTACATGCTGCACTACTTTGGACAATTAGTGACTTCCCCGGTTACTCTATGCTCTCTGGTTACAAAACCAAAGGTAAGTTTTCCTGCCCAGAATGCAATTATGATACTCCTTCTATGTATCTCAAGCATAGCAGGAAAACAGTTTACATGGGTCATCGTATGTTTCTTGATTCTAAACATCCAAAGCGAAAAACAAGGACATCAATTGAGAAGAGGCTTGCACCTAAGCCATTAACTGGGTTTGATATTCTTGAGGAGTTATCTACATTTAACAATGTGTTTGGTAAGTCACAGAAGAAGAAAACTGACACTAGTTGCGCTTGGAAAAAAAGGTCTATATTCTTTGAATTACAATATTGGAAATTCAATGAATGTAGACATAATCTAGATGTGATGCATATAGAGAAGAATATTTGTGATAGTTTAATTGGAACATTATTAGATATTCCAGGAAAAACCAAGGATCACACTAAGGCCAGACTTGACCTCGTAGAACTTGGTCTTAAAAAAGACTTGCAGCCTGTTCTTTCTGATGATGGAAATAATGTTATTCTTAAAAAGGCAAGTTTTTCACTTTCTGCCGAAGAGAAAGAGTTATTTTGTATTGCTCTAAAACAGGTAAAATTACCTTATGGTTGTGGATCGCATATTGCACGTTGTGTACATGTTTCAGAGAAGAAAGTCTCGGGATATAAGAGCCATGATGCTCATATTATGTTGCATTTCTTGCTTCAAGTGGCAATAAGAAGATCTTTGCCTAAACATGTTGCCATCCCTTTAATTAGGTTAGGTTCATTCTTTCAGAAAGTATGCAGTAAAGTGTTTTTAACATCAGAGCTTGATCAGTTAGAGCTAGAAATCAAGGAAGTATTGTGTGACCTTGAAGAGATATTTCTGCCATGTTTTTTTGATATAATGCTACATTTACCTATTCATTTAGTGAGAGAAATTAGGTTCGGGGGACCTGTGCCTTATCGTTGGATGTATTTCATGGAGCGGTATCTATGCAAATTGAAGACATATGTTCGTAATAGAAGTCGCCCTGAAGGTTCTATTGCAGAAGGGTACCTCATCGAAGAATGCTTGACATTCTGCACACGTTATTTAAAGACTGGTGCGAATAGAAAGCTACATACTGTCCCAAATAACCCTAAGCAGGATGCCAATGATGATTTGACGATTTTCCATGTCACTGGCATTCCACTCGGTGGAATGAAAAGAAGACAAGGAAAGTCATTTACCTTGGATGACAAAACGTGTAAACAGGCACATCGTTATGTTCTATTTAATTCAGATTCTAAAGAATTAGAAGATTTGATCCGGTAAGAGAGTGAATACATGATATCTTATTATATTTTACTGTTCCCTTACTGAGTTTTTCTACCTTTTGTGAATAGTGAACATCAAGATGAGGTCTCTAGAAGCAAAAAAAGAACCAGATGGGCAACAGATCTCAACCGTAGTAATGAATTTACATATTGGTTAAAGGATAAAATATCATATCACCGTGTGTCTGACAACATTTTCTGGTTAGCTAAAGGCCCATGTCCAAGCGCAAAGAGATATTGTGGATATCTTGTGAATGGTTATCATTTTTATACAAAAAATCGGGATGAAAGATGCAAAACTCAGAATAGTGGTGTGACTTTAACAGCTATGACCAATAGTTTTGCCAGCTCTAAAGACAATAATCCAATTATTGGTGAAGTTGTTTACTATGGTGCAGTATTAGATATAATTGAATTAAATTATTGGTCAAAGTTCAAGATTGTGTTGTTCAGGTGTGAATGGTATCAGGCCGAGAAAGATGACTATGGGCTCACATGTGTTAACTCCTCAAAATTTTGCTCTTTAGATGATCCTTTTGTCCTTCCATCTCAAGTGAATCAAGTTTTTTATGTGTCTGATCCTATAAACAGTGAGCTGTGCTATGTTATGGAAAGAATCCCTAGAAATTTATTTGAAGTAGAGACAGAGATTCATGAAGAGGCACAAAATAACTACTGGCAGGAGCCTATAGATCATCGAGTTCAGTCTTTTCCCCATGTTGTTCTGGATGACATTAGTCTTGCTAGAGAAGACCTTGCTCCAATCATTCTTGATGCTGAAACAGAGACTGTGAATGTTGGTCAATCAAGCACTGCAGTTGAAAATGAATCTGAAGAAGAAGATGATACACTATGGGATTGGATGCATGCTAGTGACGAAGAAGATTATTAACTTCACTTTTCCTTTTTCACAATTAAGCAAGACAAATTGCTATTAATCTTAGCACCATCTTGATTTTTTTTCTCTATTTCATTTTTGCCTTTCTTTTTATATAAGATGATTTGCCTTGATTGGTTTTAGCTAGACTTCAGTCATTAGATTGGTAGACTTTTTGGTGTTAAACTTAAATAGTGAGACTAATTTTTCTTATTGCATATACTCATTTTTATTTAGGTTTTACGGTATATTTCATTAGATCGGTGCTGTTTTTTCTTTAAGCAAGCATCTTTCTCTAAATGTTTGTATGTTTTGTGAACAACAATAGTTGTGAGGCTGATTGCACCCTTTATGCAGTGTTAAGGATCTATTTTGGACTAATGAGAAGCATGTAACATGAGGTGGCAACAAAAAAATAAATCATTAGTCTGTTTAGCAGTGACAGTAACAAATAGATTGTATTATGTTTTCAGGTAATGGAAAAAGTCAACAAGAAAAATATTGCTAGGAACATAGCAAAGAAGAGAGTATCAGTTGAGTGTGAAAGAAAGTTGACAAACTATGAGCTGCAACGGAAAGAACAAATTCAACTGAATAAGGAAAGGATGCGCCAATTAAATATTCCAATTATCTCTGAATCATTATCAAGTTTGGCAGACATCAATGGTTCGAGAAAGAGAAAAGACAAGCCTAGAAATGATCCTAACTATGATCCTAATGAAGAAGACAATTCTTTAGAGGTCACAGAAAGAGTAAGCCCGGTGAAGAAGGTAAGTCTTACATATCAGATTCATACTTTTGTAATTAACTATATCTATCGTTTAAAAAAAGATAATTTGACATATCAGGATATACTCTTTTTACTTTGAAAGTAGTGTACTGTATCAAAGATTTTTTATTTTTGTTTTTTGTTTTTTTGTAGAAAAAGCAAAAGTGCATTGCACCACTATCACTTCACAGGGTTCTAAGGAATAAGAGACCTCAAGGAATGTCAACAAATAAACCAATGGACCAAAATCAACCTCGGAAAGAGGTCACAACACTATTCCAAGATAGTCTTGTGAATAAAGTTGCACATAACGACGTTATTCCAAGACAGTCTACAGAGAATAAAAAAAACAAGACTTCACCAAGAAATGCAGTTATCAATATGGCTGAGTTTTTAAGGAAAAGAGGTGAAGAGGCTCCAAGGTCAAATATGCAGCCTGAATTTGAAGATCATAACCGCCATCTTGAAAAAAATGGTATTAAGTTGAAATTAATTACTTGTGATTTTTTTTATCATAGTGTATTCTGCACACTCAATGACTCAATATTATTAGTTGTTGATAAATAGATATTATGAGTTCAACTAATAATACAGGGCAAGGGCATATTGGTATTGATGCGTGGACAGATGAAGAGATTTTTGAGTTCTATGATGATTTCGGTGGAACGGAAGGTATGAGTTAATAATTATTGTTATGCTAATACTGAAAGTGATAGCCTGTAAGCGAGTTAATTATGTCTGATTGGCTACAAGAAGTACTGGGCTAAAGATAACAAAGGTTGTAACTCTATAAGAGAGTTGTGCCACCCGTGACCACCCAACGTCCACTTGGTGGCCATCCAACGCTCTCCTAATGACCACCAAGCAACTAACCTACGCCCAACCCACGACTACATACCAGTCTCTAGCACCACAACTAGGGGATGTGCTTCCAGAGAGCAGATACACAGTCACACAGGTAACTATTGCAATTTCTCCAACTATTTTTTTGTACAAGTGTATAACTACTATGTATTATGTATATGTCCGCATATATGCTGTACATTACATGTTATGTATTACGAAGTATGTTTTATAGATCTATATTGAGAGTTTGTGGAGTACTTTTGTTTTATTTTTAAGTTTGTTTAATGTTTCTGTTCTGTTTGAATAATCTGATTCGTTTAGTTTTACAGTATATTTAGTTAGTGTGTTGACTATTTGCTTCTTTTCATTACTCAGAATATCAAGGGCATATGTATAAGATCAGAGCATTTTAAAGACTGGTGAAGAAGGATAACAATGCTTCGAAATGCAACTTCTATGGACATACGCTAATGTTATTAAGTTGGTTTGATTTAGACTATTTTTGGCGATGATGGTCGCCATGCGCCATGATAACTTTGATGTTATTAATGCAATTTCTCATTCATTATAAATTCTATCTCTTGGTATAAAATTGAACATGTCCATATTAACAGTCTAATTTCAGAGATTTGAGTATACTAGTTATTTTAAGCAGGTGGTGACAAAGATATAGAAGAGAATATTTGTGATGTTATGATTGATGAACATGTTGAAGATGAAGAGAATGATGAACATGTTGAAGACGACGAGAATGATGATCTGAGTGAACAAGTTGAGCTTGAACATGAGGTAACAGGCAATGAGATACAACAAAAACCACGTAAGTGTTTTGAGTTCTTTTCTAATTAAGAGGTCCTCAACAACTTCAAGTACTTATAATGTCATAATCTCTCATTAGTGAGACAATTTACATAAAATGTAACAATGATATGTTTTTGGATGTATTGTTTAGATGATTCAGAAAGAACAAAGAAAACTAGGGGTCCTACAATGATGCATGCAGTACATATGCGAGAACAACGTGTATGCATTATATTAAATAAGTTTGGTCAGCCAATTGGACCGGATGATGCTACGCTAGATGAATTCTCATCCTTTTTGGGGACAATTGCTCATCATTATTACTTTGCACCCTTGGTAGTTGGTACTTGGCGACGCATGCCGGACAAGGACAGTATGTGGGATTATGTATTGGTATGTAACTATGTATTATGGAGCTCTTAGTCCCTTACTGTTTATTATACTTTTTGAAGTTATAAGTGGCCTTTGCATGCTCAGGAAGACAGTCCCTATCATTGATATTCTACTTGACCTACATATGTAGTATATTAGATTATTATGAAAAGAAAGTTCGTATTTGAGATTAATTATGAGAAAGTTTCTAATTAATTAAATATCATAACATTTAAGGCTACATATAACTAACTTTTTTACCTGTCTATATAGTCCAAATATGATGTTGCCCTGAAGGGAAAAAAGTGGGTATTAAGTACAATTGGGTCAGCCTGGAGAGTTCACAAGTGTCGATTCAAGACAAGGCTTTGCTTACAATACAAGGATAATAAGAGCAGATGGCGTAACCGGCCAAAAGACATTCCTGAAAAAGATTTCCGAATGCTCTTAAAGTTGTGGAATTGTAAAGATTACCAGGTACATTAAATAAAAAATTAGTGTATTTCTATTTTTTATTTTATTATTTCACGTTTGTACTAAAGGTATGCGACATTCAATGTAGCAAAAATGTAATCGTAACAAGGGTAATCGCGCTCTTCGAAAGGATAACCCCACGACGGGTCGCAAGTCTTATGCTAGAGTTCGTGCAAAATTGGTACCTACATATTCTGTGTAACAACTTTTTATTGTTTGTTAATTGTAGAATGTTTATAAATGATTTTTCTATTTATCACAGCAAACTACTCTTCCAAATAGTGTTGACATACCGTTATCAACTATGTATGAAGCCACACGCAAAAGAACTGAAGGACGTCAATATAAAGGATCATATGAAGATACTGCTGCAAAAATTGTGAGCCTTGCATTGTCATATTATATTATCTCTTAATTATTTTAGTGATTTATTACCCATCACTAATTTATTTGACATCTAGAATGTTTATTTTTAATGGTGCTTACATCTTAAAATTTCTTTGTACAATGTGTGTTTTCTGTTGGAAATTTTTGTATGTAAGAGATGTTTGGAAGACTAGGCAATCATTAAAATTCATCAAAATATATCAATAAAGAATATTTCATCACCCTTTAAAGTAAAGTGACTTGACTGATTTTGTTCCTGCATCAAAGTAGTTTATGTTCATGCATCATATTTTTTATTATGAAAAATAAAGTCTTTCCGAGTAAACTCAAAATGATTAGTACAAGCAAGGAAGAAAGGGGCATGTATTAGTCTTAGTTAGAAAAATCAACTCTGTTTCTTGCACAAAATCATCTCAGGTTCAATCTATATCAATCTTAGTATGGACTTTTGAGTTAATCCATTTGACTTGTGATGCTCCTGCAAATTGAGTGTATTGAGTGTAAATTTATGGAGCAGTTTGCTATTTGTTTTGTGTAAAATTATATACTTACAGAGCTTATTTTTTGTTATACGGAGTACTTTAGTTTATTGTTTCTTTTCTGTGGTACTCACACACTTAAGAGCAATTTATTTTGCTTATATGTTAGATCAATTTTTTTTTGTTTTAAGTACAATAATTTGAGTAAAAATCTATGGAACAGTACGTTGATAATGATTTTTGGTGGTATACTTTATCATAATGTCATTTGCAGATTTGAGATGTAGATTTATGAGGCAAATAACTGGAATGTTTAATTATTATCATTATATGTCATTTACAGATTGAAATGAAAAATTATGAGGAAGACAATAATGAAGAAGGTGAAGCTGCAGTTGATGGGTATGATGTTGTTGTGTCAAAGGAGAAAAGTGGTGGTCCAATAATGTGTGGAAGAGGTGTTACCAAGAAAGACCTTGCTAATACAAAAGAGACCGTGCATCAGTCGCATGTCATGACTTCTAATGATATGGAGACAATCATGAGCACTTTGAGAAAGGAGATTGAAGAGAAAAATGAGAAAAAGGATGCTGAGCTAGAACAAATGCGAAAGGAGCGTGAAGTTGAGAAACAGAAGATGGATTTGATTCTAGCAAAACTGTCTGCCATGATTCCAAATTTTGATGTCAACTCGCTTGGAGTATAGAGTCTGAGATATTTAATTAGCTAGTTTTTAAAGGATTAATCGGTTGATGTTATTGTCGATTTTGATATATTACAGTACTATTTATTTCAAATTGTGCAACGTTGATTATATTGTTATCCATTTGAGTTTCTCTTTGACACATAAGATATGTAATGAATATTGCCTTGATTGGATAATATAATATTGTGATGCTTTTAACATTGATATGTATTTATGCCTATAACTATATACGTATATATATACTACGTATTACATATTCTTAGAAAAGTGTTACCTATAACTTAATAAAAGTGTTGCAATTTCGAGAAACTTGTTGCATAAAATAGTGATACACATGTTACATAATCTAAATTTATGTTGCAAGAAGTCATAGTATTAGTGTTGCATTTTATTCAAAAAAGTGTTGCGTAAGATGGTGGTTAATCTCTCGTGTGAAAGTGTTGCATTAGAGTAAAATATGTAACATTTTTATTAAATGTTGCATAATATAGTGAAAAGTGTTGCATATGACTTTATGCAACGAGACCTGAAGTAACGCTCATAAAAGTGTTACTTAAACCTTTTGTAACATTTTAACTATGTAATGCAACATTTTGCTGGTGTTACAAAAGGCCTATTTTGTTGTAGTGAGAGATGAGATTTGCCTCTTTGAGAAGAAGAGACAAGATGTTAAAAAGTGGATTGGAGTCTTTATTCTACACCTCTAAGGTACGTGGGATCTATATTGTGTGCCTAATTGGGGCGGGGGGAATTGAAGTTGATAACATCATAGTAGCAAACGCAGTTGGAATTGTATTAACATGAACCCAATTGAGTGTAATTGGGTTACGTTATTGATAAATATTCATCCTACAAATGGAGCAAGATAACTAAGTCAAGTATATATATACTCCGTATATATTATGTGTATGGAACACGAATGTTTATGTGTATAAATATGCTTAAGATCTTGACTTGTATGACACATCAAGAAATGAAGAGAGAACAACAAAAATGAAGTGTATGTGTGTAAGTCTAGTGTGCATCTATTTAGTTGGTTTTGTGAGTAGTCGATAGTCCATATATATAGTGAAAAATTTAATATTTGGTACAAGATAAATCTGATTAGCCGAAAGAGACCAAGAGAGACTACCAAAGAGATTTTATTACTTACAAGTTACAACATCACACTACTACAGGAATGACATACTGCATCGCCTCTTTAACGTCGGTTTCTGAAAAACCGTCCTAATAGGTAATGACTTATTTTTCACATAGTGCCACCATTTGGATTAGAGGTTCACTACCTTGGTTCAGTACTCCAAAAATTTGAAAACCTAACCCCCCGATGAAAAATTTGAAACTGAAGAGATCTCCATTCTCATCTAAGATGAACAAACCAAAAATCCCAGCAACAAAAATTAAAAAGAAAATATACTAAAATTTTATAAGACTAGATTATGATTAAGAACTCATTTGATACAATGAAATCGTCTAGATTGACTGAGTTTGATGAAATTGAAGAAATTGAAAAAGTTATACTACGGAGTACTACTTAAAACATAGATATACGGAGTACTTCACTAATAGAATAAAGAAAGAATTACATAAAAAACTCTCCCTCCATCGTGGATAGAACTTAATTAGGAGATTAATTAGGAACTTAAAACTCTCCATTTGCTTGCGGCACGGTATTTTAGGAGCTCAATTAATTAGAAGAACAAATGTTTTGCATGCACCCTTGACTTTTAGGGAGAAATAATATGCACTCAAATGTAAAACGTGGGTGAGTTGTGGAGGGTAGTTAAGACATTTAATGTAAAAGGAGTTGCCTAAAAAGGAAACGTAAAGGAATAAATGGGACGTCCCAAAAAAGAAAGTGTAAAGATTTAAATAGGACGGAGTAGTTAAAATGGTCATCTGCAGTAAATGTAATTAATCTAGATAGAAACGTAATTATAATCTTACTTATGTATAGTAGTTTCTTTCTCTACACAATTGATGTGTACTATTTAGTAGTGCATAAACACCACATTTTAGAATGGTTTTACGTTATGTTTACTTAGCTTTTGTACAATTACGGTGTAATCTTTATCTTCTAAAATTAAAGTAGAATTAGAAAATATTAAGATATTTTGATATGTAAGCAAAAACATGATGAAAAGAAGAGGAAGGAGCTTGGGAGCATAAGGAAGGAGCATTGGAGACAAGAGGAAGCTTCATGGAGAACAAAGAAATGTGAAAAATCGGATATGATTTGACCCGGAGATCATAAGAGATCAAATAAGGCAAGTGAACACGGGAAAATCAGATTATGTCTTAGATCCAACCACCTCACTTCTCCTATAAAAACATCCCTTTCCTTCCTATTTTAAATACCAATTTAATCCCCTCTTTCATATACACTTTATTCTTGTAATTTAGGTAGTCCTTCCATCTTGGTTTTGCTACTTTGAAGCTTAATGAATTGTAAATTGTGAGTTATTTTCTTTACTCTTCTTCCTTGAATATTAATTTTTCCCATAATATATACTATCTCTATATTAATGTTGGGGAATGTTACTAAGATGACAATTATATAACATCTCGACATTAGTTAGAGTAGTATTTATTTTCTTCCTCTATATTAACGTTGGGGAGTGTTACTAAAATGACAATTAGTTAACATCTTGACATTAGTTATAGTAGGATTTATATCTTCTTTAATATTCTTCCTTGAATATTAATTAATTCCTATTCATATTTCATTTTAATATTTTGAGGGTTTAAATATGGTTTTAGTCCCTGCAAATATAGATCACTTTGTTGTAAGTCCCTGCAAAATATTTTCTTTGTTTTTCATCCCTGTAATATGCATTATTTTGGTTTTAGTCCATCTCTAACTACGAAACAACTCTACTTAGATTTTTTTTATTGTCGGTTGCATAAATCAACTAGAAGCGTTTAAATTTATCAGTTTATAATTTTGTTGAGGTTAATAAGAGAGTTAATACAATTATAAAACTAATTATTCCCATTCTAAAAAATGTTAATAAAAAATCCTTTAAATATGTAATTAAATACTTTTTGAATGGTATGACAAAGAATTTAAGGATACCTATTAGTCGGGATTGTTTCAGTGTCAAATAGAGGTTGTTATCATTAGTCATGGACTAAAAAGAAAATGAACATTAATTTCAAGGATGAAAAACAAAGAAAATATTTTGCAAGGACCTAAAATAAAGTGACCTGTATTTGCAGGGACTAAAAACATATTTAAACCTATTTTGAGCATTACTGAAAGGATCAACTAGTTTTGTCTCATATATTAATTATTACTAGAATTGATCGACGAATACGCTTGTTAATCGTTCGATCTTTTCACGGTAGTAAACTTGGATTATTAATGCATGCGTCTCATGGTTAATAATCTAAGGGGAATTAATTATATTGATTAAACCAATAAACCGCTTGTGTTGAGATTATCAATTTCAATTGTTTTCATCTTGAATTTATTGCTACTATCGAGTAAATATACGGCGCGTGTTCTATATTACACTAGTGTTAAAACGCCAAATAGAGGCGCTTCATTGGAGGCGCTTTTCAGCACAAGCGCCTCTGTTCAGCGAATAATTTTTTTTTTTCATTTTTTGTACTTGCGTGCGGCGATTCTAGCAGTGAAACGCCTCCAATTATATTTTCAAAATAATTTTCATTTAAAAAATAAGGTAGTGTGTGGCGCTTTAGTCCTATAAGCGCCTCTAATTAGTACAGAGTATCACATTTTTTTTTTTGAAAAATATGTAGTACGTGGGGCGCTTTCCAGTATGAAGCGCCTCTAAATGTCGAATTCTGTAACCCTACGCGCGAATACTTCAGTTTCACAATAGCGATTGAGCAGCCGCACGACTGAACTGAAGGACCAAAGCTCCAAACCGTTGTCCATGCCTCTGCTATCGCTGCCGGCTGCATTTGTCCGCTCGCCGTCGACTGCTCCGGCTCGCCGTCACTACCGCTCGTCTGCTCGTGTGCCACCGCTCTCTATCTACTGCTCCAGCTCGCCGCTGACTGCTTCGGCTCACCGTCGACTGCTCCGGCCCGCCGTCGCAAATATAAAGGTCAGTTCATTTTGGGATATTTTGATTTTGCACCCCGCTTTTTGGGTGATATTAGACTTTGCACCCCATTTTCAAAACTCTTAGACTCTGCACCCTATTTCCCCTAAAATGTCTTTGCCTTTGCACCCCATTCAAGATTTTTTCTTCACAAAATGTTGTAGATAGGGTGCAAAGTCTAAAAGTTTTAAAAATGGGGTGCAAAGACCAATATCACCCAAAAAGTGGGGTGTAAACTCAAAATTCCCCTTTTTTCATTTACTTTGTTGGTTGATTTCACTTTGATTTAATTTTAGTTTGAATGTTTTTGGATTAAAGTATATTTCTCGTGTGATATCCATTGTTCCGATGGTTAGGCTTCCTTAATTGTGTGTAATTATAAAATTGTATTATGGCATTGAGGAGAAGTATCGCAAGCCCACAAAACCAGGCGGATGATCCCTTTGTAGTTTACTTTCAGGTCACTCCAGAGTCCAGACCTATCACTTTCCTGATTCTTTTTAAGATGTAAGCATTGTTGCTGTTAAATGTTCATTTCTCAACGAATTTAATTTTAAGGCAACTTTTTCCATAAAACATATACTCTATTTTTTTGTGATAAATTATTTGACTATTTTTGTTGATGCTTGTTATTTAGGGGTAAAGCCAAACACAGTATATATTTTAAATTTAAAGCATGGGACTTCTAATGGTTTGCTCTTGTTTGGTATTGCTTATAAATCATTTGCAAGGCTTTATGGTGGAATTTGCTTAATTTCAGAAAGGAAAAGGTTTTGATGAATCGATTCCTGCCTATTGCCTAACAATGTTTTTGGATTAAAGTATATTATGTGTAATTATTAATTGTATTATGGCATTATTGGCATTTTTTGTTTTTGTTTTTAAATGAGAAATCAAAAAGGAAAGAACTGTGTTTTCTATTGTTAGGGATTTGATTGGAATGTTTGTTTTGTATTGTTATTGTACAATAAAGAATTGTTAGTCAAAGCAGAGAACAAAGTTCTGTATGGTAACCATTTTACCATGATTTTTAGTCTAGGCATACTATTTTTTGACCTTATATAAGTTTTTTCATAGATTTATTAGGCGGATGTACTAATGAATCTAAAGTTGAGATTATTTGATGTAGCAAAGAAAAAGTTGAGGTTATTTGGTATAATGAATCTGTACTTGTAACTTCACCCATTTGCTATAAATCAACTTGATTGAACTTTGTCAATGTGATTAATTAGTTTAGTTTAGTTGAACTTTGTTGTTGAATTTTGTTAGAGTGCATATAATGCCATTATTATTAAAACTAGTGTTATTATTATTTGAAAAGTATAAAATATTTGCTTTAGTTGCTAAATTTTTTACATGCACTTAGCAAATAAAAAATATTGTTTATTGCACCGTATATGATATATGATTTGTCAAGTTCATCCCATATTGCTATGCAAAAGGATTTGAGGATGTATGTTTTTTTATGATTTAGTTGTGATCTTTAACATTTATGTTTTTATGTTGATATTGAGCATGTATGTGTATATATTGAGTTGGCATTGTAGGATGTAAAAGGTTGCTTCCACACAAAAGGGTTGAGGCAAATCAATTAGGTGGCATGACATCAAGGTACATTTGATCATATATCTACTCTTATTTACACAGTTTTTGTTGCATCGAATCATTATAGGATGTATAGAGTTGCTTCTACGCAAAAGGGTCGCGCCAAGTCAATTAAATGGCATAATATCGAGGTACTCTCATCGTACATCTTCTCTTATTTACACAATTTGCTTTAATTTAAAAAGAATGATATTATGTAATGATATTGTATATTTGTCATCTAATATATAGTGTGCAAGACAAACGGGCCATACAAAATGAGGGTATTATGTCATGAAGTTTATGTGGAAAGTAATAACTTATATTGGATGTTCAGTATTGGACATGTTTTTTAAGTTTAATTATATATACTTCAATAGGTGGATTTCATTAAATCATACTCCGTATAATTTAGATATATTTTAGTTTCTCATTATTAATTTTATTTATATTTGTATGAATATTTTCAGGTTTGGAATTCAAGAACTGAACCATATACGACGGAATAGCTTGATGATCTCAGAAACGCGTGGGCTAGGTTTATTTTAGATGAAGTTATGAATATGTATGAATTGTGAACATGAAGCAGACTTGAGTTGATACAAATTAAATTTGTAAGAATTGTGATACAAATTAAATTTGTACTTTTGAGTTGATTATGTGTGAAACAATTATACTATTATTCTGGATGTAGTACTTAGGAGACTCTGTCCGATCGTCGCGATTTGGGGCGGTTTCCGGTGGAATTTTTTGATGAAATTTTTTGAGCATCTTATTCATCAAGTCTAGTTTACTCATATCAAAGTCCGACTAAAAATTTAATCGAGAGCGCATTCAAATTAATTCGAGAACGCAAAAATGTGTAGTTATCTTTAAGAATTAATTTGAATGTGTTCCCGATTGAATTTTTTGGTGAAATTTGGTATGAGTAAACTAGACTCGGTGAATAAGATGCTCAAAAAATTTCATCAAAAAATTCCACCGGGAACTGCCCCAAATCGCGACGGTCGGACAAAACCTTCTATAGAAGGACTTAATTGACCTTTTTATGAAAGTTCGAGAACCTATTTGACAGTTTTCCCTAAATCGAAAGATGAATGAATTTCTATTTAAATATTTATTATCACACTTGATCGATACAGATTCCAGACCCGCCCGTCTGATGCTCTCGTGCAAGAGATCCGAACATCCAATCCAAGTTACTGACTCCGTTTGGTAAATAGCTTTTTGTCCAATACGGGTTAACTCATTTGAAGTACATCAACCCGCTAGAAAACAAACCAGCCACTATCCAATGAACACTGTACAATGCATTAGATTGCTTTTACTAAAAGCAGCTTTTTCGTAAAGCTTTTTGAAAAAGCAAGTTTTTTTGTAAATATCCAAGATTCATTATTGAGGACCGCAGATGAAGAAATAAGACCAATGGAATCATATTAATTAAACCTCCTGTGAAGAAACTGCAGATAGTGAGATATCAAAGAAAAAGAAAATGATAGCGGAAACCCACCTTTCGAAAATTAACACATACAACTTTCAAATCGGCGGCGTGGATGTCAAGACTCGAGTGGTCGACGACGCAAAGCTTGTGCCGGCAGCTCTGTTAGAGCTGGGCGTCGGCGGCGACGGCGGAGCACATCCCATCGTTGGGCTGGACGTGAAAGTATCCTCGAATCTGTTCGGAAGGCGTAAAAGATGCGATCTGTTGATCTTATGCACCGGATCCAACGGCCTAATCCTGCAATTAAATCCCATGAGACGCCGAAATAATGCCCTTCGAACAGTCGCTGATTTCCTGAGTTTGAAGGATGTTTCTTTCGTGTGTCCCAATGGATTTAGAAAGAGCACTCGTGGTCTACCGCTGTTTGTATACGCTAATCACACCATTACGACGTACGGGCGTTTCCGGAAAACAACCCGAAACGCGTCCTTTGACTGCTCGGAGATTGGGGCCGTTGAGGTCGGTGATTACGCCGCCAGGGCTCTGAGAAACCCCAAGCTTCTCAGGTGTGAGTCGTTCACTAAACTGGGGAAGGAAGCAGGGGTGGACCTCACTACTGGGAATTCAGATAATGGAAAATTAGCCAAACGGCGACCAAAGTGGGACGCTGAGGTTTTCTCCGACGAGGAAGTTCTCTCTGTTATGCATGATGCTGCTGCCTGCTATCGGATTGTCCACAAGCTTCTTCAGTCTCCATGAGTAATGAACTTCACCATCTTATTTGTGATTTGTCTTTGCCCATCCAATCCACCAATTTCCAGTAATTTGCAGTTACCTCTAATTAGCTGGGTGCGCTACAAGTCTAAAACTGCTTCTATTTCTTTACTACGGAGTATTATTATTTGTCATTATTATGTTATTGTTATTTTACAGCCTCAACTCTCATTTCATGTGCAGTTTATATATGCCTGTATTGTGGTACGTTATGACATTCTTAGTTTTGTTGAACTTTGTATGATGTTGCAAGAAATATTGTGGTTATACTTTTACTATTGTTTGTTTTTTAGTTTTACTTGTTTAGTTTAGTTTGTGATGTACTTTTTACATTCATTTTGTGGGATGTAATTTGCGGAGTAAATTATATTTCTTGTATGCAATTTGTCGTTGTAAGCACCAAAACAGATGTAAGAAAGTATTATAGGTTCCAAAAGAAGGCAAAAATACACATGAATGAATATTAGTTCTGAAACAAAATCTGATCGGGTGGGATAAAAACACGGGCAGGTCGAAACTTACATTTGAAACTACTAGGATGCTACGAGCCTGCTACCCACTGAAACCCGATCGAGGGTATTGTAATTTTCACCTCTCAATTAAGAAAGTACTGTTTCTAAAAATATATATATTTGTGAAAAAGAAAGACCCAGCGACCTCAAAACACTTATAAACACACCACTTTTAAATAATTGAAACTCGGTATCGACCTGATTTCATCCGGTCCCGGTCCCGGTCCCGGTCCGGATACCCGGCCTAGCCTCGGGCCGGGTTTCGTCTTTCTTAATTCCTAATTTATTTAACAAGTGCTAGACATTAGAAATGAAATGTATATTCATTTCAAATATGAATTACATTGAGGATTGAGAAAATTTTAAAACATCAAATACATTTGCTAATCGACGAAATCTCCACCAACGTATGTTATTGTTTCCTTAATGAAGTGACAGTCCTTCAACCAATCGTGAAAACAAAAGAGCATCTCAAGAGATTGTGTGCTTAATCACGTTATATAAGACGAATTGTTGGTCATATAGAAGTTTAATGACTTTAATCTTATACTCCCACTCACATTTCCTTTGAAATAATTTAGTGCTTACAAGCTGCATCCCATACAGGGTTAAAATTCTAGTACATAAGAATATCAATGAAGTTTTAATTCCCAAAAACTTTTGACATCAGCTAACATTATGGACATGAAATCGGAGTAAAAACTTATACACATTGGAAAAAGGAGTCAAACAAAAATCCGATGAATCACACACAGCTTATACCCTTATTCCACATTACTTTCTCCAAAATTAAACTCTTATCTAGGCTCGTCCGTTGTTTTCTGTTAAACAAGAACAAAATAGTGCCACTCTTTGGAACTACAGGTTCATTATTTGGTTTAGTACTTCAAAACCGAACCCCGATTCTTGCTTGAAATTGAAGACATCCTCATTCTCATATAAGATGAACAAACCAGAAACCCCAACAACAAAAATTGAAATTTTTTATTATAAATTTTATAAGATTGAATTATAATTAACTAAGAACCCGTTTGATAACAATGAAATTGACTAGTATGTCGAAATCGGAGAAATTTTGATAGAAACATCTGAATTATGGGAAAACTATAGGGAAATTTCTCTGCATATGACTAAAACTTAATGAGTTTCTCAATCTATAATCTAACTAGTTTTTAGACTTTTGTATGATCGAAACTCAAAAAAAAAAATGAAATTTCGTTTATATTTAAAGGTTGAATGACGAAAATGCCCTTTTTTAAAATATGTGCATTTTGCACTAATTTATCCAGTTAAAATTACTGCACTTTAAATTAACGTTAATGCACGACATTAATGCACTATTTTACTGCACAACTAGTAATTATCACTGCACTTCCGCCAACAGTAATTCTCTTCTCATTAACTTGAGGAATTCATTTTTAGTTTATTTAGATTTAATAATATTATTATTTTACGTCTAATTAAGTATATTGCATTTCATGATGATATTATTGCTCTGTGTTACAGCAATACTGGTCATAATCATTACACAACAAAATTTATCAATGCATTCATTCAATACCTTGTACAAGATGCATGTATATTGCATTCGATTAACTGCACAACACTTTTTTCAATGCTTTCGTTGTCAATTTTCATCACTATTTATTATCATACTCAATGCCCATATTTACTCTCCATTTTCAACACCCCAAATTCAAGAAATAAGACGAAGAAAAAAATTAATCGTTTTTTAAATTGAAAAGAAATACTAAAAACAAAAATCAAATTCAACTCGTATGTTCCACAAATGGTGAAGGCCCTCCTCCTGTCCTCCAGACTTGCACTGTCGAGAACTCCAATATCCAAGATCTAAAATTGGCGGTACTCCAAGATTCCAAATCGAATCCTAAATCTCCTCACCCAAGCCAACTCCTCCCAGTAGTTGCCTCACCATGGACGCCGCTGCTTGCTGCCACGGATTGGAGCTCCATCTCCCATCATAAGTCCACCGACAGAGGACGACACATCAGCCTCGGACGGCGATTCGGTACCCAGGTCGGGCGATTCGGCACCCAGGTCGGGCGATTGATCTTTAGTAGGCGGCGGCTAGAATCTGTGGGCGGCGGCGGGGCTGGACGGTGGGCGGCGGCTAGACGGCGGGCGGAAACTCTAGGGAGCGGCTGCTTGGTTGGGTGGCGCAAGGTATACGTGAAAGGTTGTAAGTAGGGTTGGAGAAAAAGGAGCAGGAGATTAAGGTTTTATAGGTATAACTTAAAGGGTATATTTGTCACTGAAAATTATTTATTATTTAATTATTTCGTAATTTAATTAAATATTTCGAATTTTAATATTATTTTGGGAAAAAAACTTATCAGGTCATAGTTTGAGAAACTCATTGAGTTTTAGTTATACGTAGGGTAATTATCTCAAAACTATATCACTTAAAATAGGGAAAAATTGTCAAATCAGTCCACGTACTATTACGAAAAGTCAATTGAGTCCATGTACTATTTTTCAATCAATTAAGTTCCCCAAGAGTAAAAAAATGATCAAATTTGCCTTTTCTCCAATAACTGATCTGTTTCCCGGTTAATAGGGCTACGTGGATCATCCATGTGGCTTTTTTTCCCATGTAAGCGCTTATTTGGTCATTCTTGTGGCATTAAATTATCTTTTTTCCTTTTTTCCTTTTTTCTTCTTCTTCATACTTCCGTTCTGCAACTCTCCTTCAATTCCCTTTTTCTTGTTTCTTTTCTCTTTTCTTTCTTTATTCTCTCCCCTTCTTTCTTCGTTTCCCCCCTTTAGCTTTCCATCTTTCTACCACCTTCCACTCGATCTGTCGCTGCCATCTCGGTCGAGCTCCGCCGCCAACGTCGAGTTCTGCCGCCGCTGTCAGCTGGTTGGCATTGAAGAAAAGTAGGGGTCACCTTTGGGTTGCCAAATTCGCCTTCTCTAGTCTCTAAGCATCGACGGGGTCACCGCCGCTGCCCTCATCGAGTACACTGCTAAGCATCGACCATCAGAATCACAAAACAACCCTCCTGCAGTTGCTCGATCGTCCGATCTCAAGAAATACCTGATATGATTGGGGCCACGCCAAAACCACTCTCTGGTCCTTCTTCTTTGTTAATCTGCGCACTGAGTAGGGTATATGCTGATCGAATTCTGAAACAACCATCCTTTTCAAAACCCCAAACATACCATCAAATTCTATACAAAATACCATCATTATGTCATTATACATATCAAATGGCATTCTCTCTGGAGGTTGTAGGGACTTGTCGGAGAGGAATGACTTCGTTAGAGTATGGCAACGACAAACATAGTGACAGGCGGCAACGGCGGTGTTAGACTTGTTGGAGGGTGGATGAAGCCTAATGTGTAAACTTCTCGTGTAACAGTGACATTGAACGAGACTTGGGCATCGATTGATATGACTGGAGTCTGGGAAGCTTTTAACTTTTTTCGTTAAAGTAATTTTGTCATGTTAGCACACTTTTAGTCCTAAAAACCATAAATCTCCTATTTTTTCACGTATACAATATTTTAGTCTTATTTAGAGAATTCTCTCTATTAATTATTAATTAATACGATAAGATATGAGATTTTTAATTCTAACTTAGCTTCACCCCAATAGATAATTTCATATAACCATATCTTTAATATAGAAAAAATGAGGTACTGATGATTTGTTGTATATGGTGTATAAAATTAAAGTAAGGATTTTTGTTCATGATTCAATTTAATCTTATAACTTAACTATCACTAAAAAGATGACATATAAAAATATAATGCACAAAGAATTATACCAAGACTTATCATAGATGTGAAAATTGTCTAACATAGGACCAAAACTCAAGCTTACCAAAATAGCACCATATGTATGTTTTTCCCTAAATAGAATTAGTCTTACCATTTTTACCCCCAATTCTATTTAATTAATTAATTGACCTAAATAATTGCCCCCTAGTTTCCTTGCACAACCAAGACAGTTCGTCGGTGGCGACAACACTGCGGCGGCGGCAAACTCCGGTGCTTTCGGGGGCGGACGGCGACAGATGGCAGCAAAAATGCTGACACACCGCCAAAAAAAATCTGGAAGCTTTCCGGTGACGGCCGGCGGCAGCGACAACAGGTGTTCGGCGGCAGGAAAATGAAACAGTCCAAGGGCAACAATGGTAGTATTTTGGTCCAATCACATATAAAAAGTCTTATTCAAGGTTATTTTAGACTAATTGGTCCTATTTTTGAAAAAAACATGTTTTACTCTTATTAAGGTAAATCCCCCTATTAAAGACATTAATGATGATGATGATGACTACCAAAAAAACACGGGATTGACAGGGAATGTAGAAGGGATTTTGGCAGGGATTATGTCAAATCCATGCCAAAAACACTTGACACGGGCTATTTGGCACGAAAAATCAATAATCCGTGCCAAAATCCGTGTCATTCCCATATAATCCAAACGTATTTGTGTTGTGATGATGATGATAAATGCAGCATATGTACGAGGATCACATACTATTGTTTCTTCACATATATACACATCAAATAAATTAATACATGTAATTGACACTAGGTATATGTAAAATTCAATTTCCGAAGAGTAGTCTTTCAAAGAACTCGGGTTACTCCGCCCTTCAACTTTCTCCAAAAGCACATTTACAATTTACCCCCATAATTTAAATTTTAAATGGACGAGAAGGCAATGAATGGACAGCTTACCGTTCTTTCTTCACTTATAAATACGTTTCGTAACCACTTACAAGCTTGTCACAAGTCAAATATTTTCAGTCCATTGTAATTTCAAACCATTCTAATCCAGTCATGTCGACCTCATCACTAAGTACCACCTTCAACTCCACCAACGGGAAGTACTACGTCCAATGCGCCGGCAAAACCATCGAAACCACCGTCACAAAGAGAGGCGCCG